GTGGTCAATGGTAAATGAAAAATGGCCACTTCCAAGCTGCAACTTCAAGCTCAACCTCAACGCCAAGCCAACTCATCTCCCGGCTGACTTTCACATTTCGCTTTCATTGCCACAGCGACATAAACAACACGGTAGCAACATCCTTCACCAGGAGGTGAACTAGGAGTAGGACTAGGAGCAGTAGCAGTGAGAGGAAGAGGAGCAAATGCAGGACTAGAAGCTGGAGCAAGAGCAGCAGCAGGAACAGTAGCAGGACTAGAACCTGGGCTCCTCGTTTGCCCTCGCCAAATTGGAAAATATGTGAGTGCTTTTTGATTTTGTTTTTCCCCTTCTTGTCGCTGTTTTGCAATTTTCCTGCCATATTTCTTCGTGTTGCATCCAGTCCGTCAGCTCACCGTCTTGGTTTTGCTTCGCCTTTTAATACCCAGCAGTCTTGGTGGTGAAATGGGAATGTTGGTTTTCTTTAAATATGATTTTTGCTTAAATAATAATTATATAGGAACAATTAGAAAAAAATATATATATTTAAATATGAATATATATATTTTTAAAAATATTTAAAATTATTTAAAAATATTTAAAAATATTTCAAATTATTTAAAATTATTTAAAAATATTTAAAATTATTTAAAAATATTTAAAATTATTTAAAAATATTTAAAAATATTTACATATATTTAAAAATATTTTAAAATATTTAAAAATATTTATTTAAAAATATTTAAAAATGTTTAAAAATATTTAAAATTATTTAAAATTATTTAAAAATATTTAAAATTATTTAAAAATATTTAAAATTATTTACAAATATTTAAAATTATTTACAAATATTTAAAAATATTTAAAAATATTTAAAAATATTCAAAAATATTTAAAAATATTTAAAAATATTCAAAAATATTTAAAAATATTTATTTAAAAATATTTAAAAATGTTTAAAAATGTTTAAAATTATTTAAAAATATTTAAAAATATTTAAAAACATTTAAAAATATTTAAAATTATTTGAAATGAAATTTTGGATTTTTTTTTTTTTTAATTTCTGGAAAAAGTGGAAAATGTAAAAAATCCATAACATAGCCAAAAATCCATTAAATTCTATTCGGAAAGCGGTTTTGTCTTAGTTTTTACACGCTTCATAAATCTGCATACCAAGTTTAAGATTTTTTAAAATTTCATTTTTCAAATTTTTTTTTTTGTTCCGGGTATAGTTAGAAAGATTCTCCTGTTGATGCTGATAAAGAATATATATGATTTATAGGGTGGAAAATGACTTATTTACTGTGTAATCAATTTCTGAGTAAAAAATACCATTTTAGGGCGGCCAAAAAAAACACACACAAAAAAATTCTAAAATTCAAAATTCCACTAAACATTATAATATATATTATTATAATACATACATAAAAAATATATCAGCACAATTTGCATTGTTTTACAAATCACAGCGCTCTTTTAAGTGCCAGGTATTTCGTAGTCCTTACTCTAAAAACTTATATTTTGGTTTGTTTGTCTTCTCTTACTTTTAAGTTTTATTTTTTTTTTTTGTTTGTGCTTTTCCCCTTCGACCGCCTCAAGTCAAGTTAGTCGAGTTAGAAATTGGAAAATTGCACGGCAACCTGGACAGGTTTTTTTTGGCCAAAGAAGGAGGAGAAGCGCCAGCAGACGTGCCAAAGATGCAGCGCAATCTTTCATGGCACTCACGCTGAGCGTTGACAATGACAGGAACGATACAACGTACACCCAACACCCACACACCCATACACACACCCATACACACAACACCCAGTAGCAACGCCAATAAAACTGGCTGACATTTTGATAACGAGCAGCCGCCCAAATGGTCAATGGCCAATGGCCAATGATGATGCGAATTTTCAAGTTGCGAATTGAAAATAGTGCTTGCCAATAAATGCTAGGACCCGGCAAAGGCCAGAGTTGAAACCGGACTCAGAGTGGTTTTTTTTAATGGCTTTCAGGAAAGGCATAAACAAAAAACAGAGAAGCTTAGGAGCTTGGTAGTTCAAAAAGAAACACTCTAGAGGTATACATTTCAAGATGAAAAGTCTGTGAAATAGCAAAAATAGTATATAGCCCTTAATAGGATGTTTTAAAAGGGATTGTTTCATTATTTAAATTATGAATTTAGTTATTTAAAATATTTTAAAAATATATAATATAAATAATATATAAAATTATATACTTTTTATTATTTAAAATATAAATTTAATTATTTAAAATATGTATTTAATTATTTAAAATATGAATTTAATTATTTAAAATATGAATTTAATTATTTAAAATATTTTTAAAAAAAAATCTATTCTTGAACAGTTTTTATGGAATATATATTTAATATCCATTTTCCCTTAAAATTATTATTACAGTAGCAATTTATCTATATTTTCTTATTATTTTTAATCTTCAAAAAATATTAGTTTCCTCGTATTCCCTGTTTTCATCATAAAAATATCAACTAAATACGATTTTAACGAGTTTAATGCTCGCTTTCACCGCTCCTTAACTCATCAATTAAATACATAAATGAGTTTTGGCATTTGCCACCTGACTTCACTTACCTGTTCGTTCATTTTTCCAGCATCAAAACATTCATTGCAATTGTCAACTTCTACTTTAGACGATATTCGCTGCACTCAAACACCTGACGTTAAATCAATATCAATTGAATCCATGGAATTTCGCGCTTTACGACTGCTGCTCCTTCAGCATTTTCCTAGAACTCCTACCACCACCCACCCCACCCATTTTCCCACCCCTAATGCCAGCATTTTGTTCTCTAATTTGGCAGCCATCGACGTGCTTAGCAGTAAAAATATGCAACTGCGGGATTAGGAATGACTTTTCCACCCAGATGGGTAGAGGGGGAGGGAAGAGATGGCAAATCGACGAGGGGAAAAATCAAGGAAAATCGGATGAAGCCAAGGTAGGGATGGGAGAGAGGGGGGAAAGCAGTAGAAGGGGGGGGACAGACTCTGGAGACAGCCATGGCCGGAGTGCCATTGAGAAGTTTCAAGTGCCGAACCGAGCGCCGTGCAAAAAGTTGGCTGCAGTTGCAGTTGCACTTCGGACCAAGTGGCGGGCGTGGCCATAAAACAAATGCCAACACAGTGGCAGCATCCGGGAAGAGGGTGGGGATGAGAAAAGGGGTTGGATATGCACTGGAAAATTAAGAAAAAAAATGCAACTATTTTTGATTTATTGAAAATAGTTGGTAATAGGACATAAATTTATTTTTAATGTGATAAAAATTTTTAAAGGGTTTAATTTTATAAAAATACAATTTTTTAAATGCTAAATTTGATTTAGACTAATAATTTATTAATTTAAAAATACATATAATACATATTTAAAGATTATAATTGCTTTTAAGTTAACAATTTTATTAGAATAAACTCTTTAAAAATTAAGAAATATATATACAAATTTTTAAATTGAAAAAATAATTAGTAAAATATTTTTAAATTAAAATACCAATTTTTAATTGCTTAATTTGAATTAAACTTTTAATTTATTAATTGAAAAATACATATAATACATATTTAATGATTATAAATGGTTTTAAAAGTAAAATTAAAACAAATCTTTTTTTTTTAATGATTATTCTTAATGAAACTGTTAATTTAATTTTTAAGTAAATATATATTTGTAATTTTTATAAATCCATTTTTTTATTTATATATAATTTTTTTTTTATATATATTTTTAATTTAATAATTTAATTTTCATTTTTAATCAAATATATATCACCCAAAATTAAAAACAATTTCTTCGATTTTTAACTATATTTTTAATGCAAATTTAATTAAAAAATCTACAAAATTAATGTGTAAATACATTGCTAAGAGCCTCTTCTAAGCTTTTTAAACCCTTTTCTTGCTGTGCACATATATCTCTATTTAGATATACACCTGAATCTTAGCTAGACATCGTCGTTGTCATTGTCGTTAGCAAATATATGGCCAAAGAGGATCAAAGAGCGCTGCACGTTCCCTTTTGGTGCTGGAAAAAAAATATACAGAGGGAGGGCGGCGGAAAAAAATAATTGCAGTCTACAGGGGGCCTGGGCAGAGGAGGGGGACAGAGGCTGGGTGCCAGCCAAAGGACGAAAAGACGAGGTCGCCGGATGAACAAGTGTGTGTGTGTGTGTGTGTGTGTGGAAAGGCTGAAGGAACTCCATGGCGAGGGGTGTTGCATTCGTTTTGAAAGTCAAATTCCCTTTTTACCCCTCCATTACATGCAGGGGCGTGGCAGTTGATTGAAGGCGGCGGTTGAGGAGGGTAAAAACGCAGGCGCTAAGCCTCCTTAATGTCATTTGTCATCTTTTGGCCAAGTACCAGCAGCCGAGGGAGAGCTGCAGTCGTTTCTGTTTGCCATTATGCAAATATTATTTCGTGCCAAAAGCTGCTGTCTCCTCAAAACACCCTCCCCTGCTCCACCAGGACCAAACCGGAAATGGGAAATAGGGTGCACTTCCGCTCCGCTTCACTCCACACTTTTTAGTTGCCATTTATAATGAAACAGCAAGAGGGACAAGTTGCTATCACAAGAGGGGGGAAAGGGTTAACTCAGAAAATCAGGAAAATAAAAATGGAATGGAGGGTCTATCTCTAAAAAATCCAGAAAATTATATCCTGGAAAAATTAAACTGAAAGATTTAATATTATTATGATAATAATATTATCATTTAACTATATCATTTATGAACTAAGTTCTTACCTTATTAGTAAAAGTAATTCAGCTTGAAAGGCTTTATGAAGAGTATTAGGTAATTTTCCCTTCTCTGGCAACCCTGTTTGGTGGCAACCCTTAATTTCCAGAGAAAGCTTGACAGCTTGTGTCTCATTTTAGTAAACAAAAGACACTAAAAATTCCAGAAGATTACGGGTTTTTCCTTATCCTGGTAGCTTTTCTACTCCATAAACCCTTTCATTTCCACAAAAAACCTGACGAAAGCCGCACCTAACTTCCCTCAAAATACCCATAATTTTCTCCAGGTAAAAAATTCAAGTGAAAACTAAATAAAAAATATCAAGTAAAGGGCAATTATTAATATTTAGAAGTGAGAGGAAAGGAGTCACCAATGGATTCCACTGCAGCATCTGGGCTTCGTCCAGTCTCGAATCTGCGGACTCGAGTCGGTCCAACCACGATCCTTTTCACCGGCAGGCTGAGCAACTGGTTTCGCCGCCTGATTGCCCACCTGGTGACTTGGATCTACGATTACTTCTGCCCGGGGCCTAGGTGGTATCGCGATGTGCCCTTGTCGCCAATATCCAATGGCAGACTGAAGGCTGTGGGTCGAAAGACTCTGGTGCTGGACCTGGATGAGACTCTGATCCATTCCGGCGCAGTCAGTCAGGCGGTGCCGGATTTTATAGTCAACGTTAATATCGGCGGAGGCACCGCTAAGACGATACCCATTCGGGTCTTCAAGCGGCCACATGTCGACTTCTTTCTGGGGTTGGTGTCCAAGTGGTATGACCTGGTCATCTATACGGCCAGCTTGGAGCATTATGCCGACCAGGTGGTGGATCACCTGGACGGCGGACGCGGTATGCTGAGCCATAGACTCTATCGCCAGCATTGCTGCCCGGACAGGCATCTGAGCAAGGATCTCAAGCGGATTGGGAAGGACATGGGGAGCATCTTCATCTTAGATAACCAACCAAAGGCTTATGTCCATTTCCCCGAAAATGCCTTGCCCATTAAGAGCTTCCTGTACGATCCGGAGGACACAGAGTTGCTGAAGCTACTGCCATTCCTTGATGCTTTGCGTTTCACCAAGGATGTAAGATCAGTTTTGGGTCGGCGTTACTAGGTTTACCTTCTTTTATATATATATTTTCCCATTTTTTTTGTTTTTGTAACTTTTTAAACACGAAATAATTTTGTTAACTAAATGGGAAGGCCCAAAACGAAATGACTTTGACCTGTTAGTGTTCAAGTTGGTGTAGAAGCTGGCCAGACAGCTGCCGGCTTGGGTTCTTGGTTATGGAATACCCAGCATCCAAAGCTCTGTTGCTGGGGAAAATGTTGAGCAACATTCAGGCAGCCAGCAGCATGTTGCTGGGACATTGATGTTGCCAAGGCTTAGCAACAAGATGCTGTGGTAATTCTAACTAAATTTAAAGAATCTTTTGATTTTGGTTAAATTAAAATTTAAATTTTTTATTTATTAATTTTATATTTTTTTCTATATATAGTAATTTATTTTATAAATATTTATATATATATTATGAATAAGGTATAAATATATATATCAATCTAAAAATTATTGACTTGCTTTTGTCCATTAAAACAATTGCATCTAAAGGAAAATTCATAGAGCAACCCAGAAGAAAAGCTGACAACTTATGGGAGACATTTAATTTCTACTCCTATCGACATGGCAAAGGCCTGTCACGGCCACTGGTCGACTTCCAAGTCTGCATTTAGAGCCTGGTCTATCTACCACAGCTGCCTTGCCACACCCTTAACCCCCTCTTGGGGGCTGCCTTAACCCCTATTAAAAAGCATCCACTTCTGGCCGTACACTTCCTGTTTGTGATGCTGTTGACTCTTTGACTTGTGCAAAGCGAAAATGTCGGAAAATGTATATACATAAAAATAGAGAAAAGATTGATTTTAAATACTGACTTTATTTTCTTTACAAATTCTAGAAAACTGAATATATTTTCTTGATGTTTTTGATTTTGATTGATGCTGAAGGAAACTGGTGGGGAAAATGTAATCTATATAAGGATATGGGGGAAAAGTTAACAGGTTTTCTATATCTGAAAAGAAAATAGAAAAACACCTAATAAAAACTTGAAGTTAGAAAGATTTTATGTTGATTTATTATGTTAATTAATTCATAAATTTATAAAATTAAAATTAAATTAAATGTAATATAGTAGAAGTAGTAGAAATATTAAAGTATATTTAATTAACATTTTAACATTTAATATAAATAATAATAATAATAATACTATTTATATACATTTATTTATAAATATTAAATTAAATATTAATTTTAAATGACTTTAATGTTTATTATTTATACTTAAATATTAATTAAATATTTTATAATATTATTACTACTTCTGCTATATTAAATTTAATGTAATTTATATTTTATTAATTTATTTTTTAGTATTTTAATTATTTATAATATATTAAATTTAATTTAAACTAGATTTTATTAATTTTTAATCCTTTATAATTTACCTTAAATTAATTGAATTTTAATTTTTAATTGAAAATTACCCATTTTTTAGTGAGTCTTAGAACACCGAGTTAGAAATTTTTGTAGTAACTAGTGAAAGCCTTTAGCAATTAGTACTGGCACATATTCCATTTTCATTTATATTTTTCTGATGCTGCCAATGTGGTTGTGGAGTTATCAGAATGGCAAAGGACCAAAAGGACCAAGGACTGGGGGGGGGGGATCCAAAAAGGGAGAGCAACGCACGCTGGCAGAGATGGGAAATTGATTCGAACTCCGTTGGCAATGTCAGAATGAATTGAAATGAAATGGAACGTGACCAAATTTGGCCACATGTCAATATGCTAATGATGATGTGCTGCTGCCAGCTGCCAGCTGCCTCATAGCACAGAGCCACGCCCACATTTTCCAACCACCCGTTTTCCTGCCACCCTTTTCCTTTTGTCTGTCGCTAGACAAAAGGGGTATTTGGATCCCTGGTCCCTTTTTTGCCATTGGAGTTTTTCACTATTGTTTTTTAGGCTTTCAGGGGTGATCATAAAAGAAACTAGAAAATGAAGGAAAATTTGGTTATTTTTTTATTAATTTAAAAATAGGTAAATATTTCTATAGATATTATAAGATTGTTTTGAGTCTTAGGGAATTTTGGATCACTTTTGCTGGGTCTTTATGCCACTCAAAAAGGTTTAAAAAGTCTTCATTCTGTACAGAAAAAATATAAATTAAAAGCATAGAAAAATAAATAAAATTAGGAGCAGTGGAAGCAGTAGAAGCTGAAGCATCAGAAACACAAGTAACACATCGCCACACATTGGCAGCCATCGGCTGCGTGAAAAGGCTTTAAGCAAATGGCCAGAGAAATGGGACACATATGTATGGGAGAAAGCCAGGAGAAATGGCAGGAGAGGGGCAGGAGAATGCCAGGAGAAATATCAGCAGAGGGGCAGGAGAAACCCATGAGAAACCCAGTAGAAAGCCGGGTGTCCAGCTCAAAATGGAGAAAGGGTAGAAACAGCAGCAGCAGGCGTCGCTAGCATACCATTCCCCTTACCCCCCATTGCCAGGGCCATGTTGTGTAATTGGCGGCCCGAAACGAATTGAAATGGGAAATGGCAAATAAATTGAATGAAACGTGTTCCTCACCGCATTTGGGAGTTGGCAGGGTCCAGAGGGACGACGAGGGCAGGTGGGCTAGCTTGGTAGAGGGCGTGGCCTGTTGTTGACCGCAAAGTGGCGTTTCCCTTTCCATATCCGCTCTTGGTGCCACTCAGCTGCACGCCCACTTCCGCTTCCGGCCAGCGCCATTAAATATTTACCAAACAGCACACGAAGATCGCCTCTTCGGAATGTTTCCCCTCTCCCAGCAACTGAAATGCAGCTTTAAACACACAAATCAGCGACCGAGGATCGGACTTTGAGTTGGGAAATGCACTTGACAGCCGGACACATACTTGCAAGTGTCACTGTCAGTGCCACAGATTCCTATTCCTCGATTCCAAGAGCATAACGCAAGCAAAAATGGGAAAAAAAAACTGTGGAAAGGGAATCTTCATTAGGGATTTGAAACCTAATTTTTCAGATTTTCCATATTTTCATTTCATTATTTTTGTGGAGTTTAAATTGATCATTGCTAAGCCAAAATCGCATCAATTTCAATTCGGAAAGCTGTTCTGGATAGGTTTTTGTAGCCCTAATAAAACTGCATACCAAATGTATTATAAATATTTACCCATAATTTTATATAATTTTTGTTTTAATTAAAATGTTAAAAATCCCTAAGTAAGCCAAAAAGGTATTAAATTCAATTCGGAAAGCGTTTTTGGTGGGCTGCCTGAGTGTAACAAATAACTTTCTTCGTTCGCTTTGTCGCCCATTGTTTTCCGTGGCCAAAAGAAGGGAGAGCGGGAGAGAAAGGGGGGGAAAGGGAAGGGAAAATGGCAGGATGCCAGCTCAAAGGCAACAAAGAGCGGCGGGCAGATAAAGAATTAATTTAGCACAAATACGTTTACATGCTGCGTAATAGTCGGGCGGCAGTTTGCACTTTTCGCCCGATCCTTGCAAACTCCCCCCTATATGCATACATATGTATATATATATCCTATATGTGTGTGTGAAAGGATGGGGAAATTTGTCTGGTTTGTGCATTAAGCGTAAGCTGCAACAAATGACGGCGGGAAAATGGAAAATGGAGAGCGAGGAGACAGAACAATGGCAACTGAGCCAGAGTCCCCGCAGGACAATGACAATTTGCGGGCGTTGACAGTGGCGTTGCCCAAAAAAAGAAAAGAAAAGAGAAGGATAATAAAGGATATAGGAAGGATATATAAAGGAATAGTGTCTCATTGTGCATATGGCCAGGAGTTTTGGGTTATGAAGAACGATTTTATTTTGTTGAGCTATATTTTTATATCTATATTTTCCATGCCAATTTAAATTTAATAAATATTTTTCTCAGTTTATTATTTACCCCAGTGCTTAAGTGTGTGCTAATATGACCTCTATATTCCATGGAGATGCTCAGGGTGTCTCTTCTCCCCCCTGACTCTGACTCTCTCCGGTGGCTAACCCAATTTACCTTAATTAACCTGCTAAATATTTCATTAATCAAACATTTCTGCACACACACACACACACCCACTCGCAGGTACATATGCTGCTTTCAATTAGGGTGCTCCTGACATTTTTACACCCTGTTAGCAAGCACATAAAAATTCACCTTTTCCTCGCTTCCACCCCTGTTTTTTTCTTCTTTTTATACAATATCTTGCATTTGCCATTCCCTCGCTTGTTTTTGTTGTTTGCCAATGGCTTCTAATTACTCACCGCAAGCCCCTCATCTGGTTGACTGACTTAATTACAAATTGCATTATTTACAGGGCGCCAAAGTTCGTCAAACTGCAGAAAACGGCAGGAAGCTGCAGGAGGATGGGAAAGGACGTCTACGAGGATGAGGATGTGGTCGAGGCAATGAGAGGGTTTTGGCAGCTGGGCAATAAACGACATTCGAATGTGTACGGTTGGGAGCTGTTCACCTCGGAAACTCCATTCACCGCGCTGCTCCCTCCACCAATCCATTGGTAAATAACCCAGACAGCAGACCAAAAGCGCTAAATTGACAATAAGAAACAGCCTTTAAGCCAGATCGAACGACTATATATAGCTACCTTTTAAAAAATAATAATAATATAAATTTAATCTAAATTATAACATTTTGTATCGATTTTTGTACGATTTTATTTATAATAATTTAATAAATATGATGACAAGAACTCCAATTACACTGTATTTATTTATTTATTGTATAGATGAGTGAGCATCACTGATGTACAGCGATATGGGATACAATATAGCTAACTAGGCTTCACTGGCAGTTAGTGAGATGCCTATAATTTATAAAAAACCCTCATAACTCGGCCAAAAATGCATGAAATTAAATTTGGAAAGCTGTTCTGAGTTGCCTTTTCTAAGCTTAACAAAACTGCATACTCAGTTTTGCTAAAACACTTACCTATAATTTATAAAAAATATCAACAAAAAATTAGAAAAACCCTCATAACTCGGCCAAAAACGCATGAAATTCAATTCGGAAAACTGTTCTGAGTTGCTCTTTCTAAGCTTAACAAAACTGCATACTCAGTTTTGCTCAAATACTTACCTATAATTTATAAAAAATTTAAGCAAAAAATCAGAAAAACCCTCATAACTCGGCCAAAAACGCATGAAATTCAATTCGGAAAACTGTTCTGAGTTGCTCTTTCTAAGCTTA